GGAAATGAGGCATTCCATCTTAGTCCTCACGGGTGACAACGCATCTACATTTTGATTTGTAACAGAGGATAGATGTAGATGTCTATGGGCCGCAGCAACCACTTACCATCAGGTGGACTGTGTGCTCGTTTGTCACCCTTATCCTATAAAAAAAAGAAGCTATGGTGAGTGTAGAGAACCGGAGACTTTTTTTAATGGAAATGAGGCATTCAGTCATAGTCCCCACGGGTGCCAATGCATCTGCATTTTAATTTGTAATAGAGGATAGATGTAGATGCCTATGGGCCGCAGCAACCACTTACCATCAGGTGGACTGTGCTCGTTTGTCACCGTTATCCTATAAAAAAATATAGCAGCATCGTGTTTCTAATAATGACTAAAAGTAAAAAAATGCGGTTGCCAATCCGCTTTTCAAGTTTGGCAAGTATGACAAGGGATCCCTATGAGACAATCTGTGGGGGCGGCACTATGTTCATCAGTGGACTTAAATAGAGGCTGTAACGGTTACGGTAAACGAATATATGGTCCACCAGATTGATGGTCAGTATTAAGTAAATGCTGTAATCGATAGACGCCTACAACTATCCTCTATTAAGAATTAAAATGCCTCGTTTTCAATAATAAGTGTCTCCAGTTCTCTACACTCACCATACGAAATAAAGCAGCATTAATGATGCTATTTTCGCTGGTATTCTGTGAGAGCATAGTCCTACACCGGTCAACCCGATCCATTCGTGCTGCAACCATAGTATAGCTACAGCGTGGCTCTACAGCACGATATACTTCATGCATTCATTCGTTCAAAAATGAAACGAAAACGATACTAGAAGCATCCTCTCAGCGTTATCGATATAGGAATGAGGCGTTAGGTTAAGAGAAACATTTTGAGTTTTACGAAATAATAACAATTGTATCATACAAATGAGCGCGAATTTCACCAACAGATAAATTTAAAGATGCTATAATAATATAGTTGTCGAAATTAACATTTATTTTTAGCGAAATCGGAGCTTTGGATGCACATACGTACGTCATTACTAACGGCAGACATTTTCATTTAAAAAATTGTGCGAAAAAAGAGGTAAGGAAAGGAGCTAACAATGCTTCGTTAGCTCCCAACTCTACTGTCAATGTAAGTTAACTAAGCTTTCATTATTAAAGTAATTATTTTTTATAGGATAAGGGTAACAAACGAGCACACAGTCCACCTGATGGTAAATGATTGCTGTGGCCCATAGACATCTACATCTGTCCTCGATTACGAATCAAAATGCAAATGCGTTGTCACCCGTGAGGATACGATGGAATGCCTCTTTTCCAGAAGACAGAGACGACGAGACTTGGTCGTGTGTAAGTATGCAACACGCTTTAAATCCCATGGCTCAAACTTACTCAGTATGTGCCATAAAAGTAATAATAATAAATAATATAATTCAAGTTATTGTTAAACGAAACTAATTGCACAGACAGAGTTACAAAATGAAACAAAAATACAAAGAATAACTACAGGTTCACGGTAGTATTAGCAAAAGTTGCACGCGCATAATGTACAGAAATAATATTTCCGTAGGTACCTAAGTGAAAGTAAATTTCAGAAAAGGTTTGTATATATTTTAATCCGTACATACTTATACGCACCTTTTTTGTTACAACGTTGCAAGAGATAAAATTAAAAGAAATATAAGTGTAATAATATTTAAAAAAAATAGTACTAATAGGTCATAGTAATGAAATTATTGTATTTGCACCGATTTTTAATAGGCCTGCCAAATTTCGGATTATTCAGAACTGAATTAAAAATTATCCATGACATAATAAAAAAAAATAATGTCCTACGGACCGAATTTCAAGCACGGCAACCAGTCAACAGAACAATAACTATAACTATAAACTTTTCCTGTGCAGATGGCAACTCAACTGAGACTGCGTGAAATAATTACCTACAATCGCGAGCTGCCCCAGGGGTAGATCGCAGTCAGGGCTAGCGCGCTCTATAGGATGGAATATTAAAGTAATTTAACGGTGTTTACGTAAATAATTTTCTGTAAATACTTGTTGAAATACTCGTCGAAATAGTTTTTGTTTAGTGTTAAGAAAATTTAATTGTAGGTTAAAATAATTGAAAAAGTTTTATTGTAATTTAAGAATAATATATATGTATATTACCTATCTATTTGATAAACTATAATGGCAAAACGTCGGTCCTACTATAATTGTTGCGGGGATGGATGCTTAATGAGCAATTAAAAGGATTCAGATATTATATCATTTTTTAAGTTACCGAAGGATAATGAAAGGAAAATTTATTTAATTTTTTTGTTAAATAGGTACTTATAGCGAAAAAATAATTGAGTAATAATTTAACTACAGAAGTAATACCTGTGTAAGTTGATATTTACTTCACTACCCAAGTACCTACTTACACATATATACTCGTCTTTGTAATTCAAATATTTTAAGTTATAATAGCACAAAATACTGAAATTAAAACTTTGTTTACAAGATTTTCAACTAAGTAAATTACGATCATATTTCTGTTTGGAATCGTATTTCGGGTTTATTTGTTGTTTACGCTATGTATCTTTACGAACCAAGCATCCCGATTCCCGACGCATTCGTCGGCAAGTTGTCGGCCTTGCAAGTTGTATGCGTTGGGCATCACAAAACTCACATAGTAGATAATAATATGGTCGATTATAGTCAGCATAGGTACTTTACCTAAGTAACTTACCATTTCACAATGTATTTTTTACTCTTTATTAACAGCCCTTAGCAACCACGAAAAGTCCGTTGTGACGTAGCAAGGAGAAAAGATGCAAAGTAATTCGGACACTCGCGCGCAGCGATAAAGTTTTATTTAGCTTGCGTGCGCGATTTATCTGATTAATAATAACTATGTAGGCTATTAAAACGTCGGCAAGCAGTCAACATCAAAAGAGTGCAACTTCTGTACGTAGTACTATTATATATTCTGTGTCTCAACGGAGACTGGCCATTTGCGCAGGATAAGATTACAGTGGACGGGTGTGTGCGTAAACACAGGTGCATACTCTATTCCCTCACTCTCGTATACGTTAGTACTATTATTTATTCTGTGCTCGTAGTCCGATGGGTCGCAATCCAGCGCAACCGGGGAGATATTAAGCCGTAGATTTTACGTGCCAGGAAGTAACCAGTTTAGTAAAACTGCACTGCAGTCGAAATAGACATACATAAAAGAGAGCAAATTCAAAAAATATAAATCTTGTCGTGTTTGAATTACATGTCCTACGATGACCCCATGATGAATTGCATGTCGTAGGGTCTTCAGATTTATAGCTGCCAACTTCCCCCGTTCTTGGTTCACAGTACGAATTTATTTCGCATGGTAATGTAGCTTTCCAACAGTGGTAGAGCCACGCGGCAGCTTTTGCTGTCGCACGGATGGGCCGGCTCGAACCGGGGTGGTACCACGACCTCACAGAATACCAGCGTGGAGTAGAGGTTTACCTCTGCGTTTCGCTTGGTGAGTGCAGGTGGCCGGAGGCCCTTTTTACTGGAAATGAGGCATTCCATCTTAGTCCTCACGGGTGACAACGCATCTACACATTGATTTGTAATAGAGGATTGATGTAGATGTCTATGGGCCGCAGCAACCACTTACCATCAGGTGGACTGTGTGCTCGTTTGTCACCCTTATCCTATATAAAAAAAAAAACTTGATTTTGTTTATCTACAAGATAAGTTACAGTACAGCAAAGCTGCCGCGTGGCTCTACCACTGTTAAAAAAGTTATTCCCAAACACGCCGCTCGCCAGCTATAATCCATGCCATTTTCTTTCTGTTAATTTCTGCTAACCCATGCTGCCCTGTTTCTGTCTAAGTATTTTGCTAGCTTACACGTGTGCGCAATCTTACACATTTAGACGGCCCCTCATTAATTTTACTAAATTGAACCCAAGATGCCCGCCGTGGGGCTAAAGGGACATATCATTCATACAACTTACACTGATTATACCATTGTGCTCATTTTCGTCTCGTCATCTCGAGGGCAATAGCTGAAAATCAGTGTTTGCTCTCAGTGCAATATTAATTGCTGAACTACAACCCATTTGTTAAACTGCAACACAGTGTACTTTTAGGTCTTAATATTATATAACTTTTTTTTTATAATACGTTGCTTAGTGCTTAGTTAAGTCACTTTTCCAGGTTAAATGGATTTGGATAAAATTTGGCACATTGATGAACCATACTTAGATTATTCTTCTACAGCGCATGACACTCGTAGAATACTAAAAATGATCGCTAGTAAATGAGCAAGATGGTGTTACTGTTATCACGCGCACAAGCTATTAGTTCATAATATGTACACGACTCCTATTTTGTATCTTTACATAAATTTCATTCTCAGACAAAATATGTATAGTTTTCTGAGAAATTCAAAATTTTTAAGTTTATTCACTTGCACTGTTCGCAAATTGCAAATATTCAGTTCATAAATGCTCTAAAAGTTCATGTCAGTAAAATCCGATCCTCAGTAAAACACAGGCCGTTATAACTCTTTTGATTGAAAGAAATTGAATGTACCTATATATTTCTATATATAACTATACCTATCGAATTCTTTCACACTTAATAACACACTTAAAAAAAATCTTAAACACTTAATGTATACATATAATATATGTATACATTGTGATGTAATGTAAACACATTAATGTATATTAACATGAATAATAGACTTTTTACAGTGTTTAAATTAAAACTATGTAGTGGTACGTAAGAATATCCAGTACCTTTAATTGTCCTGTGGGTGTTGTAAGATGCGAGAGGGAAACAAACTAGGAGACGAGAGTAGCTACGTCCTAACATCTAGAAAAAAATGCGCTTGCTTACCCGGCAACTATGACAAGTATCCTCACTATGAGGCAACCCATGCGGGTGGCCCATGTTCAACAGTGGACTTCTGATAGGATGTATATATGATTCTAAAATTAAATATTTAACATTAACAGACTCACCTACTACGCCAACGACGCTGAAAATACAGGCGCAAATAGCGGCCATGATGGTTGCTTCACGAGGGTATATAGTTTCCAACGTCGAATTATGCATTATCTCCTCCATGTTTGTTTTAACTGTGCTTTCACTTTGGGAATAACTTTAACACTGTTTTGTTTCTAAACTTTTTTTCTCAATATGGACCTTGATATAGTTCACAATAATTCTGCTAATGTCCGATCTCTTTCTAAACTTACGGACAGCAAATGTGCTCTTGTCATGTTTTTTAAAAAGTTTTATTGAACTCTGATGAACTCTCCGGCGTGTGCCCATCCGTTGCAGATTTTTCAACTCAAATCCCTTTACAGGTAATCTGGATTCCTTCGTATTTAAGTATCGTACTGTTTCTGTAACAAAAGAACAAAAGTTTACAATGTTGTTGCAGAAATAAGCAAACAAACAAACAAGACGTAACGGGATCGCGTAAAAATGCGTTGTTTTGAAATTGAATTGACGGTATTCCATTCATTTGTTTTGAGTATAATGCTTTCGGCAAAAGGATTTGTTACTGAGAATAAATAGCTTCAGAGTTTATTCGCGTCAGGCTGTGTACATTCGTTATAAAATTTGAAAATTACGTGATGGACTTTGAGAAGGTTTTTAACCTTAATTTAAAAAAAATCTTTCGGAAGGTTTTTGTGTACCTATGTTAGTGCGTATATTGCTGTCTTTCGTACGGTGAATTACGAAAACCGGAGACCCTTTTTATAGATAATGAGGATAGAAAGCCTCCTTAGTCTTCGGGGGTGAAAACGCATCTGCGTTTTGATTCTTATCGTCCATCTTTGTACCCACTTACCGTCTGGTGAACTGTGCCCGTTTGTCACCCTTACTACTAATACAAATAGCTTGCTATAGACGTGCTATATCAGTCAACCCGTAGAGCTTTATATAATACTGGCTGGTGGTACCCGGCGCGTTGCTGCCGCAGAAGAAATAATTGTGGAAATATCGTTTTAAATTTGGAACAGTTATATTGCTTAGTTAGGAATGATAACACAATCATTGATAATGAATGATCTACAACTTTCAAATAAATTGTCGTTACGAGACGCGCGCCACCTACTGTAAGTTAATTGTACTATGCCTATAACCTTCGCGCAAGTGGCGCAAGTGCAAGTAATAAGTTGACAAAGTTTTAGCGCAATCTGATGAACGGCACGGCAGCGCATAAAATACCAACAAAGAAAAATAAATTTTTATGTATTACATATATTTATTTATTTTATATTACTGTCAATCTTTTTTGGTAACCACATCCAAATGGATATAGGGGGATTCTGAGTGTTCAAGTATTTCTGGGCAGTTTAAAACAATTCACAAATAAAACACAGTATATAATAATAGTACGTAGTAGTAAGTAACTTTGGGTCAATATCCCTGTGTAAAAACGTGAGGTTTAGTCGATTTATCATTAAAAAAAATCCTGTTTCTATAATTACATAATTTATGTTGGTAAACATGTAAAACAATTTGCTCCAAATCGGAGGTGTCCCTAGAACGGAACTCTACCCAAATACCACCTAAAATGAAGACGGGCTAGTCACAACATGTTACGAAGTACCGAAGGAAAGTTGAGCAAAATTCTAACAGTGGCAAAAAGAAAAGTTAAAGACAACGAACAAGATTGGAAAATGCACTTAAATTTACAGCAGGTGTAATTGGAGAAGAATCTTAAGAGATAGAAATTATTATAGTAGGTTATAGTATATAGTCGTATTATAGTAGTAGTTGTAGTAATATAGTAGTGGGAATTCAAATTAAAGACATAAAAAATAAGTCAGTCTAAATATGTTTTTCATTTTATAGAATAAGGGTGACAAACGAGCACACAGTCTACCTGATGGTAAGTGTTTGTCGCAGCCCATAGACATCTACATCTATCCTCTATTACAAATCAAAATGCATTTTGATTCGCAAACGAGGATAGATGTAGATGTCTATGGGCCGCAGCACCCACTTACCATCAGGTAGACTGTGTGCTCGTTTGTCACCCTATCCTATAAAAAAAAGATGCTTTGCTACCCGTGAGGACTAAGATGGATTGCCTCATTTCCAGTAAAAAGGGCCTCCGGTTCTCTACACTCACCATACGAAACAGCAGCATTAAGCTGCTATTTTACGTTGGTATTCGGTGAGAGCGTGGTCCTTCCCCGGTCGAGCCGACCCATTCGTGCTACAACTATACTACTAATATAGCTGCAGCACGGCTGTACCACGTATAAAAATATATGTATTACCTTCAGAGCTATTTCTGATGTTTTCTGGACTGAAAGGTATACAGAGCCAATATAATAACAGGCTGTGAGACATTCCATCTTAGTCCTCAGAGGTGACAACGCATCTGAAACACTCTTTGTTTGAAGTTGGCTTAATGTCTACTTACCTTTTTCACTTTAATTTAATTAAAAAATATTGTAGACTTAATAAGCGTCAGTAGCCTAATGGCAGGGCGCGGACCTTGAACTCTAAAGGTCTAACACAAGCATTTTAAGCTTACCAGAAGTGTTTAAAGGGAATATTAATAATTTTAGTAGCATTACTAGTATTTAAATAAATGCGGCCAAGTGCGTATCGGACTCGCCCATGAAGGGTTCCGTAGCAGCAAGTAACATGATATAAAAGTTCTTGTAGTTCGTTGTAACTTTGATCGATGTTTTAATAATAGTGTATTTTTTATTTTTATATTTGTGTTGATTGAATGAAAGGTCAATTTCGGTTTACGATTTATGACGTAAGTATTAAAAAAAAACTACTTACTAGATCTCGTTGAAACCAATTTTCGGTGGAAGTTTACATGGTAATGTACATCATATATATTTTTTTTAGTTTTATCATTATCTTATTTTAGAAGTTACAGGGGGGACACACAGTTTACTTTGGAAGTGTCTCTCGCGCAAACTATTCAGTTTAGAAAAAATATATATTAGAAACCTCAATATCATTTTTAAAGACCTATCCATAGATACCCCACACGTATGGTTTTGATGAAAAAAAAATTTGAGTTTAGTTCTAAGTATGGGGAACCCCCAAAATTTTTTTTTTCTATTTTTGTGTGAAAATCTTAATGCGGTTCACAGAATTTATCTACTTACCAACTTTCAACAGCATAGTTCTTATAGTTTCGGAAAAATTACGAATCCACAAGGGTTCCGTTTTTTGCCATTTGGCCAAGGAACCCTAAAAAAAAGTCATAAGAATTAATATCTACACAAAGAAGCACTACAAAAAAATAGAAGTATGCGCTAGAATGGTCATGCGGTTCGCCATTTCTAATATCATAACGCTGCATAAACATTTGTATCGGACTTCGTGCGTGATGGAGCCGTACGGATCCTACCCCACATATTTACTGACACAGTTGCCCCTCGCACCATATCGATCGGCAATCAATCGTGGCTTAACGGTGAGCGTATTCTTAACGGTTTTCCTATAGCGGAGATCTTGGGGTGGAATCCCATCTAAAGACTGAATACTCACGATGAGTATCGACCTTTTATCGTTTATTCTTGTAACGACATTAGGACTTTCTATTGTATTGTGAAGGCATTTTACAATGAACTACAAGACCTGGAAGAATAATTCGTAAGCCATACAAATAGTAGTTACGTGCAGGATACAAACCCGTGGTTCGCCTTATTCAATGCTTTGCTTTCCGTTGACAAGTGGTAAAAAAAAATAAAAAATTTTGTTCAACCGACTTCAGTATAAATATAATTTATTGTTGATTTTCTATAAAACCGCTCGACCGATTTCGATAAAATTTAAATGACCACCACCACGTATACCTTTTGAAATAAAATAAGAATTTTCCAAATCGGTTCAGACGTCATCGGTGTACATAGATAAAAAAAAAGATTCAGACGAATTGTAAACCTCCTTCATTTTGAAGACGGTTGAAAATACTTTAGTGCGCGGGCAAGTCAGATCCAATCTACGCCGGCTCCAATGAGGTTGTTAATTTCAATTTTTAATACTGACTTACTACCTTACCACGTACACAACGGTGAAGGAAAATCGTAAGGAAACCATCCCCAGAAATAAAAAAAAAATTCCCGACGGTATGACATTTATCTCTTGGGAGAGAGGTAAAGCCCTAGTGTGGGATACTACTTACGTAGACACTTTGGCAGCCTCTCATCTCAGGGTAACTCGTCAAGAGCCGGAGCGGCATCAGGGGCAGCTGAACTAAGTGGCGCAAATATGAGTCTCTGAGAGATGACTACATATTTGTGCCATCTGCTGTAGAGACTATCGGTCCGTGGGGTCCACGTGCGGTAAAGTTCCTAAAGGAACTGTATCCGAGACTGGTTCGTACTGCTTGTGATATGAGGGCTGGTTCTTTTCTCGCTCAAAGGCTAAGTATAGCCATTTAGCGGAGAAACACAGTCAGCGTTCTTGGCGCGATACCACGGGGAGTAGGACTGTATGATAATTAAGTTATTAGTTTTACTTTTTTATTATAGTTTTAAAAAAATGCTATGTGATATCCGCGAAAATGCATTAGTACAGCACAACGGTATTTTCCTTGCCCTCTTAGAAATGGAGCAGTGGAATATATATAGGTTTTAAGTAACTTTAGCTTATAATAAAATAGAACCTATTGTATGAAAAAATAAGTGCTATACTGCATGTGACCTTTGTTTTGTTTAAGTCACGCTTTTGAAAGTTGACATTCATGAAAATTTTATGCTACCCAAAACGTGGTAGAGCCATGCTTCAGCTATATAATAGTTGTAGCACGAATGGATCGGCTTGAACGGTGAATGACCACGAACTCTCAGAATACCATCGTAAAATAGCAGCTTAATACTGCTGTTTCGTATGGTGAGAGTAGAGAACCGGAGGAACCCTTTTTACTGGAAACAAGGCATCATCTTAGTCCTCATGGATGTCAACGCATCTGCATTTTTGATTCTTGATGGAGGATAAACATAGATATATATGAGCCACAGCATCCACTTACCGTTGGGGGTGTTGTGTGCTAGTTTGTTACTCTTAATTCGTACAAAAAGCTAATTGATTGCAATATTATTTAGTTAGTTTAGTAGTTACATAGAAACAGA